GAGGTCCGTTTTGGAGGATTTGGACTGCTGAGCGGCCAAAACGGAACACTAGAGGGAGAGCAAGGAGCACAGCCAAGCAGACCAAGCTGGCGAGGTCCGTTTTGAAGGATTTGGGCTGCTGAGCGGCCAAAACGGACCACCAGAGGGAGAGCAAGGAGCACAGCCAAGCTGACCAAGCTGGCGAGGTCCGTTTTGGAGGATTTGGGCTGCTGAGCGGCCAAAACGGACCACCAGAGGGAGAGCAAGGAGCAGAGCCAAGCTGACCAAGCTGGCGAGGTCCGTTTTGGAGGATTTGGGCTGCTGAGCGGCCAAAACGGACCACCAGGGAGAGAAAGGGACAGAGACCACCGCCAGCTCTCGTTTGATGAGGTTGCCGTGCCTGTGTGCGCACAGGAACATGAACGTTATCATCCCACCCCACCCCACACCCCACCCCACACCCCACCCAGTTTAAAGCTGGGGTTTTGAAGGATTGGCTGCTGAGCGGCCAAACGGACCACCAGAGGGAGAGCAAAAGAGCACAGCCGAAGCCAAGCTGAGGCGAGCCGTTTTGGAGGATTGGCTGCTGAGCGGCCAAAACTACACCAGGGAGAGAAAGGGACAGAGACCCACCGCCCAGCTCTCGTTTGGTGAGGTTGCCGTGCCTGTGTGCGCACAGGAACAATGGACGTTATCATCCACCCCACCCCACCCCATCACCCCCCCCCACCCCACCCCACCCCCCACCCCACCCCACCCCCACCCAGTGGAAGAGCTGGGGAGGTCCGTTTTGAAGGATTCGGGCTGCTGAGCGGCCAAAACGGACCACCAGAGAAAGGGCAAGGAGCACAGCCAAGCTGACCAAGCTGGCGAGGTCCGTTTTGGAGGATTTGGGCTGCTGAGCGGCCAAAACGGACCACCAGGGACAGAAAGGGACAGAGACCCACCGCCAGCTGTCGTGTGATGAGGTTGCCGTGCCTGTGTGCGCACAGGAACATGGACGTTATCATCCCACCCCACCCCACCTCCCACCCCACCACCCCACCCCACCCACCCTAAAACCAGATGGTGTCGCAGATGAGGGGAAAATGGTGTCGCAGATGAGGGAAAATCAGGGGGGTTTTGGTGTCACAGATGAGGGGGATTTGGTGTCACAGATGAGGGGCTTACCGGTCTGGGTCATTGCCATTAGGGGATAGGCTGGCGGTAAAAGTTGCAACTCAGGAATTGCCCTGCGTTTGGAGAACCCAAGGCGCTTGAGGCCAAAGAAATCGGGGAGTTTCTTGGAAGGAACCACCAAGAATAGCTGAATGGCCCTTTTGAAATGGCGGTGAAGTAAGTTTGAAACCGCCAAGCACACCCCCTATTCATGTTCACGAAATCTCAAAAACGAATCGTTGGTCATGCCATTTGTTGTTAGGTGTGTTGATACTGGACCACCATTTATTTTTAAACATGTGGATGGCATTTCAAGGATCTGTGCGCAGGACGCAGATTTTCAACATGTGCTCGCTTAGAGCCGCCCCAAGCCCAGTCGAGGGGCTGGATCAGTCGATGGCTGGGAGCCATTTCCTAAGTCATGGGATACCTCCAAACCATCCATTTTTTTGTGGATTTCCATGACATGAACCATCCAGCTATTGGGGATCCCCATGACTATGGAAACCCCCATTGGATGTGACTCTGAGGTTATGTCGTTATTGCCGTTATGCCAATGAGCTGCTGAGCTAGTGGTAGGGTGCTTGAATGAAAAGTATTTAATCTGTCTTTCGCAGATTACCCCGCGTCTCCGCCGGGATGAAAACCTCTGTTGATTCTGTTGTTCTTTTTTTTTAAATGCCATTGGTGTCTTCAGAAAAAGCTGATTTCATTTTCTTTCTGGTTGCTTTACCATTTTTGTATCCAAAAACCGGGCATCTGAGAGTTGGGGAGCTGTCTTGACCCATCTTGACCCCTTCGGCGATGGGCCGTGGGGTGTTCACGTTGGACGTTGGTGGTCCTTTGTCTGCCAGCTTCAGTTGCCAAGCACCAGTTGCACCAGGCGCCTGAGCAGCTCCAAAGCCAGGAAAATAGGCCCCAGAGCGATTTTTTTGGGTTTCAGATGTAGGAGTTGAGGGGATTTCAGTATCAGGGGATTGCAGTATCAAGACATTTGGGGAATAGGGACTGAAGACTGACCGATCTTGGCTGTTTCTGCACCCAAGCAGGATCGATGCAAGGCACAGCAAGCTCAGAAGGGTTTGAAGTCTGGCCGAATGATAGTTACATTTGATCTCATTTGACATGCATAGAATGCTGCGTATCTCGTGTACAGGATCACGGCCAGTTTCTCATGCCACATCCACCAGCCGTGTTTCTCTTGTGCCTCACTTTGTTTTCCGATCCTCACCTGACGCCTGTGCACCATGGTCTCAATGCCACCAGAACTGGGCGAAACGTCACATGAGCTCAGTGAGCTCAGTTCGCTGGTGAAGAAGATTGAGACGGCGCAGTTGGAGTCGCGTCCACTGAGCAGCGATGAAGCAACTGCTCTGGATGTGGCATTTTCCAAGACTAATCTGAGGGAACTTTGCCAAGCAAAGCTCGCAGACTCTGCCAAGAGTGAACTTTGCAGTTTGGCGCACCGCATCTGGGCAGCTGTGGGACAGGGGCCGCCCTATGATCCACTGCAGGATGCCAAGTGTAGGAACCTGGCATGCAACATCTTTTCTGCCAGCTTTAGGGGCTGCATTCCTCCCAGCGATGCGCTGTTGCTGTCTGCCCACTGGGCCTTCTCGGGCCAAGCTTGGATGCGAGCCGATGCCTCCTCGCCCTTGGCGCTGCCCTGCTTTGCTGAAGCTGCAAAGGCATGGAGGAGCCAACCCTCGGTGAAGCTGGCGCAAGTGGCGGCTCAAGCTTTGCTATGGGCTGGGGAAGCTCACTTTCGGCAGGTCAGCTACATTGAGGCCTTTTCTCAGCTTTCTCAGGCTCGCGATATCATCTGCAGCTACCAGGACTGGGATGGGATGCCTGGGGCTCAGAACAATTGAGATTGGAATGCCTGAGGATGGTTTTTTCTCCCGTGGAACAAAGAGAAATAGCATCTATTTTTTGAGTCGTGAGTTTTGATGCATACCCTCCAGATTCCTGCAATCCTGCAGCGTGCTGAGAACTCAGGTTAGACAACTTCCTGCGTGTTTGCTTCGAACAGGTCGCAGAGTCGTGCCAGGGTCGCGTAGTGGTGATTTGAAGCCTCCAAAGAACTCGTTTCGGATACTCAAAACATATCATCCGGGGGTACATCAAACAGAACCGATTTTATCAGGTGACGATATCAACTTTTAAAATCTTTTAAAATCTTCTCATTACCAGCTGGTTCCAAGTGGGTTGTGGCCACAACGGCCCACCAGGCCAATGCGCACCGCGCGGCTGGCAACCTGAGTGAGGCCATTGAGCTTCTGAACTTGGCGATTGCAGCAGGTGGGGATGGGGGCAGGGGATGAGGTGGACCAGAGACGTCTCATATTTTGGGGAAAGCAAACCACGTTACAGATAACCAGTGTAGTACTTGTTTGTTTATATTATCCATACTTGTATATATATATTATATTATATATATATATATTATATATTATATATTATATATTATATATCTATTATATATATTATATATATTATATATATATATATTATATATTATATATTATATATTATATATTATATATTACATATTATATATTATATATTATATATTATATATTATATATATAATATGTATATGTGTATAATGTGTAAATATTGAGAGGGACGATCATGATAAACCATGGGATACTGTATGCAATTTTGAGACCTACCCATGAGTCATGAAAGTTGATGGGAAGCAGCAAGTTGGGCACGGAAACGAAGGGTACCAGAGTGAATTTGGAGGCCCCAATGCTGCGCCTGCTGCAAAGTGTAGGCTGGGTCGGTCAGCACGACAGTCGATGGATGCATGGATGCATGAATGCATGGATGCATGGATGGACGGATGGACGGATGATACATGCATACCCTCTGGTAATCAAACGCCCAATTTATGGGGATTTTAATGGGAACATCATCTAAAAATGTGGGATTTTCCAGCTAGCCATATTTGATTACATGGAGGGTATTCCATGTGAACCATCTCCGTTTTGGTGGATTCTCAAACCATAGCTGAGCACCGCTGGACAATACCCGCTCTGTTGCATTTGATGGCCATAGAAGAGACTACTTGTCCAAATTTGGGTCGCTCCTTTTGCCATCCACATATTTATTCACCAATTTCGGCTCATTCCCATGCTATCATTTTTTGAGGGATAGAAGTCAACATTCGAGAACAGTGGCGGCGAAAATACGCGCAATCTTCTCCTTGCTTTGAGGTTGCTGCGGGCCTTGGCTTTATGCCATGTTTCCGGTGTGGAAGGGATGGTGCAATGCTCAACTGTGACCAGACTTTGAGCACGAAACGCTGATAGCAAACCTATCTATCTGATAGATATGATAGATAGAGCAGTTGGAATCCCGGGAAACATGTAAAAGGGGGATTCTTGGGCATGTACGTTTGTATGCTGGTTCTTATGTTTTTTTGTTGTTGGTCAATGTCTGTTCTTATCATCGATGTGTTTTTCTTTTTTCCTTAACTTTCACTTTTGATTTGTCCGACACGTACAAATGTTAGAGTAATGAGAAGAGAAATAGATGTCTTGATTGACACCTTTACATGAACTCAAGCAAAAACAATCAAAAGACAAAACAGAATCAAGTCTTATGTTAAGAACAATTGGACATTTACCTATAATATTTTAGAGAACCTTTACGACCTTGACTATGTCAATTGCTGTAAGCAACACGGGTGTTGGTGGTTTCCTAATCTTGAACGAACTTACATGTTTAGAAACAGGGAATTCAATATAAAACAGGTTTTGGACATCATCTTGCTCGAATACACTGAACAACTTATATATAAAAGGTTACGAGAACTATTGTAATCAAACTCAAATACTCATAACAGATACATACATACATACATACAGATAAATAACAGAGCACCTACAAAAACTGATAAATACTTGCTTACAGAAAAAACATATAGAGGAAAAGAAAAATGCCTATGATTAGAGCAAGCAAGGAAGAATGACAAAGAGAGAGAGAGAGATAATCTAGTGAACTTCATAAAAGAACACCCTTATCTCGACTATAACTTTGGATCTAATGACCTAACCCTTAAGCGACATCAATCTTTAGAGCAATACGCAGAGTATGGAGACATAAACCACTTTATGAACACATCTCCGATCAAGATCTACAGTAATAGGGAGACACGGTGAAAGGATACACGGCAGAGGAGGAAAGCCCGCATCACAACAAAACTATTATACACTGTTGACAGTGTCAAGTTTTATGATTGAGCAACGGGGTCTTGATAGAGACACAATTTTTGTAGTATTCTACCACATCAATCAAAGTGATTGTTTCTGAACATTGGGATGGAATAGGCGAAAGTGATGAACAGCGGAGAGACTGAGCCTTATGATAAATCCATAGTATCTTAACATGATTTATGAAGTATCTTTTCTAAAACAAACATCCCTGAAAATCCTATCAACCTCAACAATGTTCCCCCTCATTCAAACCAAACAACAACAGTAACAGTTAGGGGCTGTCCCAATGTCCCACAAACCCCATCCAAACCTACATGCCCCAGAATCCCCCTCTTACCATTTTTTCTGGGAATTATGAGGTGAACGTCATCTTTCTACCATCCTGCAAAAATTCAGGTTGAAAAAAGGGGACGGTATCAATTTTTCAGCACCTCACCGAGGCTCATGCGAAGCAAGCATTTGCCTTGTCTCCGACCTCCAAAGACCGGGTTCTTTCCCTTCAGGCCACAGAGTTTTCTTCCCTGATTCAAGCTGTTCGACCGCACCGGCGGCGCCTCACCAGGTCTTGCTGGAGCTTCTTCTTGGCAAAGAGAGTGCATCACTTGGATGCATTTTGTGGCACATATTGCCATATTTGGTTTGGTAATTTTTCAAGCAAGCCATGGCTCTTGTTAATGTTTCTAACAACACCTGGGGAAACATGGGAAACGTTCCTCAGCACAGTGCTGCTAGTCCTTGTTTTCAGGATTGTGCACGACTGCTGTGAGACATTCAGACTGCCTTTTTTGGCTCAAGCAACATGTTCGAGAACGGACTAGACTTCAGGCTAGAGCGGGTTGCAGTGCATTCATTTTTTTTAATCATTCCAGCGCTCCAAAACTGTGCTTTAGAACATCTTAGAACCAAGAATTGGGTTGGCCCTTTTTTACTTCTTGTGCCTCTTAGACTCTTCATCGACACTCAAGCTGTTCAAGCTAGAAGGATCAGATTCCTAGCAGAAAAAAATCACCAAACACTGCCATCGCATTTGGCCGCATGACTACAGAAAGAATCGCAGTTTGTCTGAAGTCATTCGATGGTTCTATTTGTAGTTGTTTGCGCAGTGGTGTTGTTCATTCGGTGTGTGCCAAACCTGACCTTCCAAGGTTCCGAGCGGGATACACCAAGGGTCGCACATCCAATTCGCGGCAGCAGCAGACCATATTTTTGCAACAAATCCACGAGTTGTGCAGCAAGAGAAGCTTGGAAAGCAGGGATGATGTTTACGGATTCCCCACAGGCTGCTGAACTTTTTCTAGCCTGGCAACTCCCAACGGTTTAATTTTTATTTTCCCTAAATCTACAGTAGTCCCATCCAGCTACACGAGCAAGTGTCACTGTCAAGAGTTTCCACCCACTGTAAGGAACTGCTACTTGCCCAACGTGGGATGTGGGAACCATGTGGACCATGTGGGAACCGTGTGGGAACCACGTCGGAACCATGTCTGTTGGCCAACGATACTTATCGATACTTGTAACGTCCGAGGCGGCAACAATGGCAGGAGGAAAAGGGTCTGGCGATGGTTTTTGACCCGGCCAAAGATCTACCAATCCACAGACCCCAGGCCGGGAGTGTCTCCTGAAAGTTTGGTGGCAAAGGGACCAGATGAGTCAAAAGTGGAACAATGAGCAAAATCCCATGACATGAGCATTTAAACATATTTATGTATAAACATATTTATGTAAACATATTTATGTAAACATGCATAAACAGTTTATAGTTTATAAATATATAATAAACATTCTGACCCCCCTTAGGGGGTCGATATCACCCCGAGGTGGCCGGGCCTCCGGGCTGGGATGAAGAACTTGGAGCCAGCGAACAGCAAGCGCTGCTTCGGCAAGTGCCTGGTCCAGGTGATGGCGAAACTCACAACACAAAACCCCGCGTAAAAAATAGTTAGCGCATATTAAATGGATAGATATGTGATATATATATATATGATATATATGATATATGATATATGATATATGATATATGATATATGATATATGATATATGATATACCCTCTGGTTGTTTAACATAGACATGGAAGCCATGGCCCATAGAAATAGATGGTTTACCTATTAATAGCATGGCGGATCTTTCCATGGCTGGAGCTTGTTTGTTCTCGGAAGGTCATGCTGCAGGGGATGTGTCAGTTTAGTTTGGGCATGTTTCGACGCGAAATGAAATCTGGCACATGAAGATTCGGACGGTAGTTGTTTCAGTATATCAATGTATACCATAGTATATATATATTGTTTATATATATATATTGTTATTATTATTATTGTTATTATTATTATTATATCATTCCACTTTCGGGGGTTGGGTCCAGTTTGAACGTTTGGCCCGGGTTTTGTCTCAGGTGCCATCCAACGAGGTGGTGAAAGATGACTTTCACAGATATCGATGGCGATGCATCTTTCAACCGGAGAGGGCTGTTGCTTGGCGCCTGGTTTTAGGAGGCCACCGTTGGTTGTCCCCAGAGTTTCCCTCTAATGGACCAGCTGCCCAGCTTTAAGTAGATATGTTTTTGTTGTTTCTTCTTGGTTCCCTCATTTTAATAAAGTCATGCCGCCCCTAGATTAGTAAAAAGCTGCCCGGTTGATGAATTAGGGTGGTGACCTCCAAATAGTGACAGTCTGCTACTGGAATGGCACTTTTACCAATATTCACAGCCCAGTTGGAGGATCATCCCCTGGATCGTAGGTGGTTAATAACCCTTGGTTACTAGGTCTCCATTTATAAGTGGCTAAACTGACCTCGCGTTTAAACTCACCCCTGGTTGGATGATCTTCCAAGTACTTGGCTGGCGGGTGGGGTGGGGTAAGAATGTCATGTGCACTGCGTCCAAGTAACTTCTAACACGCTCTTGATGTTTACGCTCTGCGCTTCTTCAAGTCACCTCTATCACGTTCTTGATGTTACGCTCTGTACTTCTTCAAGTAACTTCTAACACGCTCTTGATATTACGAAGTCTATAAAAAAATGGCTCACTTCCTGCAACGCTTGTGAAGCGAAAGAGATACACACTTACAGGTACAACATTGAAAAAACAAAATAGTTTGTCGCAGGATTTGAGAGGCTCCAAAAAAATGGACAAACGCAGAAATCCCTGAGAAAACACAGGCAAAGTGAACTTGCAACTGTTGGAAAAACAGGCGGCGTTCTGTCAGCCGCTTACCAAGTAGTTGGCACCCAGTTATAGACATTAAGCATTATTAAAGGCAGTTAACTATAGTAACTATAGTCATTATATGTCATTATTTTCTTGGTGTCTTCAGCCATCTTGGCCAAAGTTAGGTGGAGACTCTAGGGCCCGTGGCAGAACTTCAGCTGGTGATTGTGAAAGCCAGAGACCTGCATTCGCACGAGCTCTCCAAGATGCTCCAACCTACCTGCAATCCTGCATGCAAGGCAACTTCAATCTTCAAAATTTGTGGGGTGGTCTGAAAATGGGATATACTGTGATATACTCTTCAAATGGCCATTTGAAATGGGATCATGAGAATAGTAAATGGGATATCGGATATCAAATGGCGATTTTATATCATTTTATGGGATATACTGAGAATCATCAATTGGAATTTTTCGGCAACTTGGACTTGTCTGAAAATAGGATACCCCAAGTTATAGCCATTTTCATGGGGAAAATGATCACCAACCGGTGGATTGGGAAAAAACGTGATTTTTGGGGAACATGTCCCGCTTCAATCTTCGAATTTTATGGCATGGTATGAGACAAAAGGTTAAACTTCCAGGGAAACAAATGAATCATGAGACTTTTGGTACCTTTTACGCTTAATTTTTGGGTCAAGTCTGACTAATACCCGCTGATGGAGTTGTTCGAATCCAGAGATTAAATCAGGAGCGACTGTTAGACAATTATATGATATATGATTATAAACTTATATAAAATTATATATATATACACATGATTGTATATGATTAGGGATATTATATAGTTATAAATAGTTGTATGTATACACATCGATATCATAGATGATAGATAGCATTTCCTTGTTGTTCAACGAGTGTTTTGTGGTACCTGGTGTAGACCTGAGGTATACCTCGATGACAACCTGGTTTGTCAAAGCAAGTGCCAGCAGCAAACCGTGGAGCCAGAATGGTGACTGGTCTGTGAAGATTTGAGCTCTAATTCCACCCCTCGCTGTGCCTATAGAGAATGCTGCAAAACAAGGCAACACAGTTGGAGGTGTGACATGTCATTTTCGGTGGCGTGGCACTGGTGAGAATAAGGCGTGAAGTTGTCGTGACTCTCTAATTCGACCCCTCACTGTACCGCTGTGACTATAGCGTATGCTGCAAAGCGTGTCGGGTTGGAGGTGTGCAATGTCACCTTGTGTGGTATTTGGCGAGAATCAGGCTCTAACTCGCGTCTCGCCGTGCCTGCAGCGAACGCTGCAAAACGAGTGTGGACTGTAGAGTGGAGGGTGTGGAGGGTTAAGTGTGGAGCGTGGAGTGTGGAGAGAGTGGAGTGTAAAGCGTCGAGTTTGTGGGGTACAGAGTGTGGAGTATAATGTGTCATATAGAGTATGGAGTACTGTATCAAATGTACGTAGTGTAGCATGTCGAGTGTGCAGAGTAGAGCGT